ATTTCTCCCGCCGGATGCAGTTAAATTTGTGGAGTTACTTCAGAAATGGAGATATCTCTGGTACCTATTTTTAACTCCTATTTTGGAATTACATCAAGTCCTTGAAAATAACAGTGCAATTTTCATATACAGTCAATCCCACTATTAAAGCTATTTGTAAAACTAATGAATAATTAATGAGGAAAACAGGCAATAGAAATCACAACCGTGAAGAGTGTTGTAATATTTGATACAAAACTGTCTTGATTTGCATAAACTTCAAATCTAATTTTCTCAGCCAAATTCAATTTTATCTTTAAGTTTTTAGTAGATTATGAATGTATACACCTAAACGTTTCACAAGTAGTTTACAACATTCACGTCCGTGTTGTATGGGCTTTACAATCTCTCGCCCTCGGCTCGAGATTGTAAAATCCCATACAACACGGCCGCTCATGTTGTAAACATAACTTATTTGCGTTTGTTTGATTCACTAGTGAAATCTTAGATTTATGAAACTAACCTTTGCAAGAGCCTGGATCCCAATGATAGTCCTGATCAAAGCCACAAAATTTATGCATATCATTATGGTAATAGGAACGACAACAGCTCCAACGACTCCAAACTTCGTTGATATATAGCAGAGTTTTCCTTTACCTTTGAAGCAATTAAATTAAACAATGGTGTTAAGAAGGGCGAATGGAATTATGGGTTACGAAACTGAGGAATTAGGGGTAGCCAACTCGCCATTCTTTTTTTTTTAATTATTCATATACACTTTGTGTTAAAAAAATGTTGTCGGAGATAACGGCGAACGACGATAAAATTACTTCAAGGGTTCATCTTGAATAATGAAAATGCATATCAAAGAATTGCCTCAGAAAAGTTGTCCTTCGTTTGAAAGCCATATTTGGTAATCTTGCCTTATTTGGAAGTATGTGTGGATCGATTTTTGGCGATTTTCTCCTGACTTTTAAAGCTTGAAATAGTCTAAAACTTGCAGATATTATAGCAAAAACACGTCTAAACAATCGGCCATTTTGTTTTTTTGACATATATGGCATGGATTCGCTAAAGGAAGACCGAAACTAAAACGAACAAGGATTCCGTGTTGGAGCCACAGTTTATCATTAAGTATAAATCAGTTATTATTTTTCATCCATAGCAAAACCCATGATTCCTTTCGTTGTTCCAATCACCATTTGACATTTGACATTCACCATTTTTTCCGACAACCTTTTTGGAAATAGGTATATATCTTTATTTCATTTTGCTTTAAAAGCATCGCCAGTCAGATAAGGCCCCGAAATCTTCTCTACTGTTTTATGAGACGCATCAATAGCCCATCTACTCTAGTTGGCTTACCGTAACCAAACTTGAAAGTGCTTGTGAAATCAAGTGCGACACAAACTGAAACCATTGTCAGCGGCGTTCCCCAGGAGTATGCGCTGTACTTGATGAACGTGTTCCTCGCCGAGCCGTTGATCATGGAATTAAGAATGACTTTCCAGAAACAATAAGAAACACTTTAAAAATGGATTTATATAGAGGATATTGCATGGGAGCGTGGATATACGGATTTTATCTGCTAGTGTTGAAAAGATCTTTCGCAAGTGAGCGTAGCCAACATATATTATATATGTAAGTAAATTATTTGGTAAAATACCATTTTTTACTTTAATATTTAGCTAGAGAAACCTTTGAATGTATTACTTTCACTAGTGAAATTACAACTTTTCGAAGGAGAGAAGTAAAGGTATTTCATAGATAATTATATGATAAATGATTAAAGTTTCTTTTATACTATACTACCAAAACAACCATGAAGTCATAAGGGAAGATGGCCATTTTGTACTTACTTTTATTACCACTACCAAAACGTTTCGTCATGTCATACGCCAAAACATTGAACCAAAAGAACATTGACAGAAGACTAAAATGAAGGACGATCGCGTTCACCACGCAGAGGATTGGGTACGAGGTTGACGTCATCGGTATGTAACAAGMCATGTATACTAAYAGTGCGCATGTCAGGCTCATGACGCTCTTTCCAGGCGTGGTTCTCAGCTCGGAAAATAGTGAATAAGTCAGGAGAAGRAAGATTATGCAGAMGGCGGAAGCTGCAAATCCGATTGTAGTAACRACTTGTAMCCAAAACTGATCGCTTCTTTCMGTTCCATTTCCGTRTACAGTTCGGCCTACTGTAGCTSCAGTTTTATTCCGACAGATGTACGACGTATTATCAATTACCTTAATGAGTATCTGAGAGGCAGTAAGTGTATGTACGATTAAAGTTTGCTTGTCTTCTTTGACATATGGATATTTTTCAGGTATGCAACGAAGTTTGTCAGTCTCATTCCAACAGAGGTAAGAAGAATTATTGATTACTGCGATATACATGTTGGGACGAACCGAACCATTTACGATTATCATTCGGCTTCCGAGAATTAAGGASAAATTAGTTGGAATACAATTGCTAGTTAACGTTTCATTTGATTTCTGGGTTTTGTTTTTTTYAGTTTGTTCATTATGATTTGCCCTAACATCGGAGCACTTGCCTGTAAAGGGATCAAAAATCTTGTCTTGTTTGCAACTCGAGAAACTTGATTTAAAATTGAAAACAACTGTCTGCGAAGGAAGAGTAGTAGAGATACCATAACCATTACAAATGGAATCTGTACTCCTCAGCTGGTCTCTCACGCTATGGTYATCTAACGCGCACAATAGACAATGAAGATTTCTTAGTTTGAATACCTTTGAGGGAAGGCTATTCGGAGGCACTTTGACGCACAGTGGAAACGCATACGAGTTACAGACACGTTCCAACTCCTCTTTATTCATGCGCAGTAAACCAGCCAATGAATTGTCTTTCCTACACCCGGAGAATTTGGGGATGCAGAATCGAACTTTATCTTGGAGACTGTCGGGCTCCGTCGCATTCCAATCGTTAATTTTCGGGAAGTTCTCGTGAAATGGAAGGGATCTGTTAATACCTTGATTCCCTTGAACGGTAATGTTCCAATAAGCCATCTTTCGAGCTTTGTTGCATAATGCACAGAAAATGTTTTTGTATATTCGAAAATCAATCCCATCAGTCACTGGAAGCATTGTCAGCATGGTGTCGAGGCTAGCCTCGTCCTCGCACTTTTGCTTTATGTGGTCGTCTGTCCACGTGACTGGACAACTACTGACCATTATATACCCGCCTTTCTTTTGACCATGAACAGAACGACAATCTTCAGTATTATTTTTTCTTTGTTCTGGTTGCTTTTGTCTGCACCTATATTGAGTAGAGAGTTAAGAGTTTATTTGCTTAATCGATCTTCCCTTATATAAGATGCAAATGAAGTGACGTCTACTAAGGCAAGATTTAATATACAGAATCATGAAAGAGAACGTTATTATTTTTGCTACACTGGAAAAACCAACTTCAGCTCTATGATTACTATGATTAATGATTTGAGCTCTTCAACCAAGAACAGAATAGCTGAAAGAATAAGATGTAAAAAGTCTGGATCAATTCCTTAGTTGACGTCACTTCATTTGCATTTTCAATTTTCAAATGTCTATAACTCAGAAAATACTATTCCAAATTCACAGAAATGCTTGGCAGCGTGYAACCTTTCGGATAAAAGTGTTTTTCTAAAAGGTGTCATATGTGCACTTTAACTATATCAGAACATCGGTTAGATCAACATGTACGTGAGCAGTAGTATGACAATCAAAATTCTGATCTAAAGGGCTACTCGAGGTTCTTATATTTTACAACGCCTACGTCCCTTTAAAGTGCGCCGTCGAACGCAATACATGCATCAGGAGTTTCGGAGAACAATGCATCCGCCATCTTGAAAAGTGAGACTCAAATCACTAAATTAAAACTCCTAAGGCAAAACAGTGATTCAGGGCTCACTTTTCAAGATGGCGGACACATTGTTCTCTGAAACTCCTGATGCGTGTATACCTGCCCTTAATTATTATAAATGTCACCTTATATTCCTTATCGTTTTAAATTGTTTTGTGATTACGCTCAGTCATTGTACGTAGTGCTAGCACATTCAACCTCGAGTTAAGTTTATTTGCTTAATCGATCTTCCCTTTTAAACTATACCAGAACATCGGTTAGATCAACATGTACGACAAACAAAATACTGATCTAAGAAGGCCTACTCCTTACACCGCCAACGTCTGCCTTTAAAGTGCGCCGTCGAGCGCAATACCTGTCCTTAATTACATTTCACCTTACATTCCTTATCGTTTTAAAATGTGATTACGCTAAGTCATTGTACGTAGTGCTAGCACATTCTTGTCAACCTCGATCGCCTGTCCCTTCCCTTAATTACATTACTGATATCATCTTATCAGTTCTCGACTAAAACATTGRAAAAGTTAATTAGCTTACAGAGTTTGTAAATAATGAATAAACTGTAAATTAAATTTACAGACAAAACGTCCTTTAACAAAGTTTGAAAATTTTATATACATTCTGTAAATATCTTGTAAATTTTGCTCCATCAAACATTGTAAATATCTTGTAAAATCAACTTACAAAGTTATAAAAGGACATTTTGTCTATAAATCGAATGGTTTACAGTGAATTTACAGACTCGGTAAACTGATCAACTTGTCCAATGAAATGTTGTGTGTCTGCGCTAAGTTATTTGTCGTCTTTTTTCAAAACCACTCATTTTGACTTGCATATCCTTCCATGTTTGCACTTGTCATTTTTTTGCGTAATGCGCTGTATATCTATCCATTTTCAATTCAAAGTGTAAAAAACCCGGCCTTTTTCAAAAGTTAAAAAATATAATTATATTTGTACAGCTGTGCAATCTTTACCCAAATGAAAATTTCTTCATCCAACAAAGGAAGATCAACAAAGATCAACAAAGGAGATCTTATCAATCATTTCGCAAATTTCATATAAACACTCTCCTTCACGGCCATTTTTTTTACTGTTTGACCAGGTGTTTTTGAGTAGTAGGTGTTTCGAAAGAGCCCTTTGGGCAAAATTCTCATATAGAGTTAGCAGGGATGCTGCAATTGTAGCATGAGTAGAGAACGAGTTTAAATAATCGCCAGATAGCTACAGTGGTTTTGAAACCTCTTTTCACAATGATATTTTTATAGACCAATSCCGCATTCGCTTGGATGAACACGAAACAATCACTTCATTTCGAGGCTGGAGTTTTCGACAAAAGATAAAACTCCAGCCTCGAAATAAAGCCATTGTTCCGTGTTCATTCAAGCGAATGCGTGATTGGTCTATTGGAGAGTAACATTACTGAAGAGCCCTATGGGTAGGGCGAATCTCTTATGAAATTGGCGCGGATAATTGCTGAACTCCGTGGGATCCACTTATGTTAAGAGGCACGAGAATGCCCACAAAGTGCATGGGTTCTCTGTCCCTCTGCAGGACAATATCACACCTTTGTGAAAGACTCTCTTATGAACTTAGTGTGGAAGCTCGTCTCCGAATAAGGAGTTGAAATCAGTAGAACCTACTTTTTAGGAAGCAAATCTATTATAAAATTGGCTACGATACTCGCTTCACGATAATGACATGTTGAACTCGGTGGGTGCCGAAGGTTGTGAATGATCAAGAATGCACCTCACGTAGGTTTAGCCTTCGCTTTTAGAATTAAGAATCAAAAACGTACGTACCGCCCTACCTATTGCATCTTGACCAACGGCAGAGAGACTCACTTAACTCACTTATCGTTTGAGAACATGTTCTTAAATTTATGCATCAGTCGATTGAATCTCCGGCACCTCAACCTCTGGGGAGAGCCGGAAAATTAATACAAATAGCAGGGGAGATAGCAGAGAAGACTAGCTAAGATTTTTTAGGAGCATAGTCAACGGTAAAGCTGTGGAATCAACGTCTAATTCAAAGGAAACTATCAGTTTAGCCGTCTTTTTGGCCTCCACGGGCCGCGAAATGCCGGAGTTTTAAGATTGTTGAAATGTTCGTTCCCCGTATTTCCCGTGAGCCTGGGCACTGGTTTCARYTGACTGATRMSTTATGCTTTCTAGGTTCTAAATGAGYTTCTTCKGGTGAGAAAACAGTACTTGATATTAATTAATGAAGCGGTTCTTRKKTGGMGTGTGMAGAAGTGTGCAATGTCAGCCTGACAAGTCCYATACATGAGRTTWTATTTAAGAAACATATCTCTGTYCTCTGATATAAACACAGTGGGAGTTGAAAAATACGCGCGGAGCAAGCTTAGAAGCTTAGYTTAGCAAGCTTCTCTTGCTTCTCAAGTGCTTTTCAACTCCCAACTTATTTATATCAGGAGACAGAGACACAAGCGGCCGTTTTATAGTTCTTTTATCAACTTTTTCTACGTTTTTCRGGTGAAAAAAATTTTTGCCGGTAAGCCGCTTCTTTGTCCTCTGATATAAACACGGTCGTCAGCCAATCAGAGCGCGCGTTATATTTCAAAAGTTTTAAAAATTGTTTTATCTGTCTTAGAATACTGTATCCTTACCATAGTYTGTAGTCRGCGCAGCAGTCTTTGAAGTGCTCGCATAAGGTGTCGCAAARGCATTTCGCATTTGGGTCCATTCTCAAAGACCTATGCCCACATTTCGCTCTCAGGCGGCAAGATCTATCGGTTTCCACTCCAAAGAATTCTGAAGAAAGGTTTAGTGCTTTCTTGGCTTTTAGGTAGTTATTGCATGTTGTGGTTGATCCTTGGTCACTGACACAAAATTCTGAATAAAACAAAAAACAAAAAATAGTAAATAAATAAAAAAATGAAAACAGAAGAAAAAGTATCAAAATCTCCAACAGAAAAATGAGAAAGAGTACAAGCAAGAACAATATCTTCTTAAAAATCCAAATTTTTCGACTTAAATCGAGGAGTCCTGATGGTACGAAAACAAAACAAAATTATTCAACTCTAAATGACTTCAATTTCGACTTTAAAGTCGAAATATATATTTTCCATGCCATCGCGATTCCAAAACATGGGTTTCTTCAAAGATGTTTTCCTTCGGACTTGACTATCGGATCGACATGGATTTTGGACAAAATCTAATAGGCGATGAAAAGGGGAATGAAATTAAAGATATATCAATAGAATTATTATAACAACATGTATATATGTAAGGGCCGATTTACGAGTTTGAGAATTAGGATCAGCAAAATTCTGAAAAGATGCGAAGGAAAATATATATGAAAAAAAAAAGAAAAAGGAAGAAAATTACTAATATTCTATTGTTCGATTAACGATCTTAACACATTATGTTTCTTTTCCTTTTCCTTTTTCGTTTATAAATCACTTTTCTCATTAGTTCTACATGCTATACATCAATCCTTACCTTCCTTTACTTTCTTTGAAAAGCCTGTATTATAAGGAAATACAAGTATACATAATATCAGAACTGCAAACGACTTCATTTTCGCACTGAATTCAAAGTAGAAAGGATCTTGTTAGAATCTAAACTAACCTACTTCACTCCAAACTCACAACTGACCTATCTTAATCTGTTTTTGTCGAATTTAAAAAGCACACTGGTAATGTTGACTTAACTTAAATAAACTTCTGATAACACATCTAAGGGGCGACAAAATTGATTGAAGAAGAACGGTAAGACAAATTAATTTTATTTCATGACAGATTAAGATTACAAACTGCGATAGAATGAAAGGTGGGATAGTAAACTAGTACAATATAATTCATAAACGATTTGAAAGATAGTTTGAAAACTTAGTGAGCCATACAGTATTTATTCTTTTCTTTTTAAAATGTTAAACCTATTAATGAATTTACCGCTTTATTCTACTGTGTCTCAATTGATTTCATCTTTTTAATAAAAGCCCTTTTAGATTTGCCTGAGATAGTGGACGCCATTTGGTTTAGTTTTCTGGTCATGAGATTCATTCACCGAACTCAGCMATGCAGTATTCATTCCTTTCTTTTTGAGATGTTTTAAAAATCTATTAATTAATTTATCGCTTTATTCTACTTTTTATCTCAATTGATTTCTGTTTAATAAAAGCCCTTTGAGATATAGTGGACGCCATCTGGTCGTGAAGTAATGAGATTCATTCATCGTAGTTATTTCTTCTTGATCTTACCTAATATGGGAATCATTCATCCATAACTAAACTAGTTTCCTTGAATAATAAAAACATCTGTAGCTTCCGGGTCGGCTTGTCGTCGGTTAGTTTATTCAGCTTTTATCAGAACAAAAAAAAAAAACACTCTAAGTTATCTTTAAAATCGYCCTTAAAGAATCAGATAGCGCTGTACTAGCTAGATATCATCCTTTTCATTAATGGTGTACTGGAAGTTGTGAAGCTTTAATGAAGTGTCCGAAGTTGTTCAAAGAATAATACTTTGAGGTAAGCTAATATTCTGACCTTCAAAACAGCGAGAAGGCAACGCAAATAAGAAAATTAAAACTTATAAAATAAGAAATTTACTGACTTATCATTTCTTTTAGTCGCTTGATTATTCTGATTTTAAATCTTTAAGTCACATTATTCTAATTCTATTTGTAATAAATTATGTCCAAAATCAACATGGAGTCGCAAACAGAAAAAACGGCAGGCTGGCGGGTTGATATATGCTTACCGAGTTTGCTCAAGAAAACGTTGAAATAAGAAGCTAGTGTTACAACTTTGCAAGTTGTGTGGATTGTTTTCGGTTACTCTATACTCATTATTAACCGAAAGTATATTCTAAACTTCTATTTGAAGACAGTTATACAAGACTCWTGTTCTACCTGTGTATGATGGCTTGGTAAAAAGAAAAGATTTGCTTAACTTTAAATTTGATGATTAAAAGAGTGAAATACTAATTTTATTTTCATTAATTCATTGAACATCTTTTAATATTTTATCGATGATTARATTCGACAGGAAGAGTATGCAAATTTCTATCAAAATAAACCCAAACACCTTCAGTGTCAGTTCAGGAGCAYATAATTCATGCATTACGAAAGTACTTAAGCATGTCAGAATTTGGAAGTTACATTGTGAAATATCAAGTAAATTAACCTATAGAAATAATAATAAATAATAATAAATAGTCAATTAAATGAGTAAATAACTACATACATGGCAAGCATTTTTAAGTGAAGTGATTCCATTTCCTGTTCCGAGAAACACGAGGATAGTTGTGGGAACACGCAAGAAAGGTTTTGAATCACGAGCTGAAAGCGTGAACAATCGTCTACGAAAAATGAAACAAAAATATATTATGCTGTTATAAAAAACTCCTTTGTTTTAAAACGTGTTGCTATGCTCTCAGAGAAACATGTTTTTTTAACATTTCAATCAATGAATGCACGAGTTATATAATAGTTGTTTCAGACTAATTGAATGAACAGCCGGCTAGTAAAGCAATGCAATGATTAAATTGTGATACAATATTAATAAGTATTAGTTTTTTGAATTCTTTGATTCTTTTTATAGGTGTGCTATTTGTCTTATCATGAAGTGTACATTTCTTTCAAGTTTTATTTTCGTATCTATCTTCATGGCAAGCAGTGAAGCTGAAAAGGGTATGCATTATTCAAAAAGGGTAAAATGTATTGTACGATGTTGAGAACACTATCTTTGATGAAAAGTCCACTACAGCTATACTAAAACTTTAAATCAAGCAGTTTGTCAAACAAACTTCTGGGTGTGTTTTTTTTCGCAAAAATGTATTCTGAAACTCGAATCACTTTTACCTAAACATGTTATATCATAGTATTACTAAAAAGGAAATTCATTTTATTCAGGTACAGGGGATCTTTTGGTACTGAAACTCTATTATACTCATAAGATTTTCTTTCTCATGCTCCCTTTCGGTCTCATAGCTATGATGGCGTAGCCTTTTGGCCCCCGCGACTACGGGAAACAATGATGTGGACAAGGGGTCTAAATACCTATCCATTTCTTTATACTAGAAACTATTATTGAAGTGCCATATAAGAATTCACAAGGTAAATGGATATGGTCTTGGAACAGTCAGGTAAAACTTTGAAATTGTCTAACCTTATAATTAATAATTTTGACCTAAAAGTGAAATAGAATAAAGGTCAGTGTTGTTTGATTAGAAAAGTCAGGGACGGATCCAGGATTTTCACAAGGGAGTGTTGCGGAGCTCTCAGGTAGGGATGCACACAAAAATCAATACCATTAAAATACAAAAGAAGCTGGGAAAGTATTGAANAGTGCATGTCACATAAGCATGAAACAATTATTAATTAATTAGCGCCTAATAAGATTTAGTTATCAACTAACTAAGAATTCACTGGGGCATGAACACAATGCCAGAAAGGAAACTTGTCTTTGTTTATGCCTCACGGAACTCTTAGTTAGTTGATAACTAAATTCTTATTAGGCGCTAATTAGTTAAGAATTGTTTCATGCTTATGTGACGTGCACTCTATTCGCAAAAATGTATTCTGAAACTCTTTCTCATGCTCCCTTTTGGTCTAAGCTATGATGGCGTAGCCTTTTGGCCCCCGCGACTACGGGTAACAATGATGTAGACAAGGGGCATAAATACCTATCCATTTCTTTATAATAGAAACTATTATTGAAGTGCCAAATAAGAATTCACAAGGTAATTGGATATGGTCTTGGACCAGTCAGGTAAAACTTAACCCTATAATTGATAATTTTGACCTAAATGTGAAATAGAATAAAGGTCAGTGTTGTTTGATTAGAAAAGTCAGGGACGGATCCAGGATTTTCCCCAGGGTAGTTCCAGGTTCCAGGTAGTTCCAGGGTAGTTCCCCACAAAAATCAATACCATTAAGATATAAAAGAAGCTAGAAAGTATTGAAGATTACAGATCTCAGGTGGGGGTGTACACACCCTGCACCCACCAGCTGGATCCGCCCATGGAAGCATTTTCATTTGATAATTTATATGAAGAAGTTTAGTATCAAAAATGGTGGAAATTGAATTACACGACAGTTAAAATGTGTTACGGCAACAGTGTATTAATTCTAGCATTTCCATAGTGGACTAGTACGACAAATGGAGATGGTAAAGTGTTTTATCAAGTATGTGATGTAAGCTCACCAAGTGAACCAAACAAGTGGATAAGAAGCAATGTGTTCCTGGTTGGTGATGCAAAAAGAATCGATGTTACTGTTGAATACGCAGTCTCTAAGTGTTCAAGTGTGCCGTCTATAACAAACTGCAAGGAAACATTAAAACTTTATGTTCATAAGACTGCAATACAACATTCTTTTGTCAATAATCGGGTTCCAGAACCTTGGAAAACACTCGAAGTCTATCAGGTATTCGGGACCACGTCTGCAACAAACCTAAGTACAGGAAGTCTTTCTCGAAGTTTTGCGAATACTGAAACATATTCATTTCTTACAAATTCTTCAACACCCTACCACTACTTTGCCATGCAATATCGAGGAGGATGCTTCGAGTTGTATAGTGTCACCATAAGTTACTCGGTCTGTCCATCAATAGCTCTTCCTACTGGTCTCGTCCAATTACCCCGTACTATATCCCCAGCTAACGGTACAATAGAAGTATCAGGTAGATGTCTGGAGAATGCGGTACAGCCATTGGCTAACAATGCTACCTTATACGGTCACTGTCAATCTAACGGTGAATGGGGCAGTGAAGCGGCAGGTGGCGAGTGTTTGTGTAAAGCTGGTTATGGAAGGTACTTGAATGGACCTGGAGCAGTTTGCAAAGGTTTGAAGAAAATGCATAATTTGCCATATCTTATATGTAGTCTTACTCATAATTTGAACTATGTTTTATGAGATATATTTCATATAAACCAATGTTGTCGTACTACATCCATCTGCCTTGTTTCAGATTGTCCAATGAGTACCTACCAAAACTCTCCAAGTGCTAGTCCATGTAAACCATGTCCACTAAACAGCGTTCAGAATGTGGATAGGAAAAGGTGCAATTGCAAGTCATCATTTTACAGAACTGACGTCGAATCGGCATTTCACAATTGTACCGGTACGTAAAAGCCAGAACGAAACAAACAAAAGTAATTTAAATTTGTTTTGACGTTTTCGGGTTGCTTCTTTTAGGTCAACCATCGGCACCACAGTCGATTGATGCCATCTCCAAAAATGCAACATTCATAAAACTTCAATGGTCAACGCCTTCAAATCTTGGTGGACGATCAGACATTTACTATGACGTTCGATGTAAGAAATGCGACAATGAAGGAAAGAATTGCACTGCGGAATGCACCGGTGCTTTTATTTCCCATGCTTCAAAGACTAGTATGAAGGCAACGGTACATGATCTTTCTGCCTATACATATTACCTGTTTGAAGTATTTGCTAAGAATGGAGTCTCTCCTCAAGCAGAGAAGAAAGGCGATAATCCAAAGTATACAGTTCTTTTAAATAGAACTGGCGAATCAAGTAAGTTGATTGCGAGCGTAAAACATACGTCTGCCTGCACGTATTACCAGTTTAAAACGTTCTTAAAGAAGCCATCATCTATTTGGCCAAAAACAATGGTCTAAATCCAAAATTCGCAGAATTCATTCAAAGATCAATCGAATCGAGTATGTTTTTTTTTCTATTTTGGTAAAGTTTTATTGGCACATTTTTGGCGTTTCATTCTATGTTTTTGTACCGAGATAGTGCTTGTTTTTAGATTTTGTCATGTCTAATGCATATCAAAAACAAGTTTTATATTGATTTTTTGGGTTATCGTAAAAGACATGTGTATAACTAAGACATCAGAACATATTTAGGCTCATAATTAATTGAAAAAAAAAGAGAGAAAAATATCGGAATATCTTACCATCTTCTGCTTCAGTTCCAGGAGTACCAGTGTTGATTACGAGAGTGATGAACTCCACTTCGGTGCTTCTAAGCTGGACCTTGAAAGAGCCAAATGGAGTTATAACTTATTATCAAATCGGCTATTATCCTGTCGGTCAGAAGTCTAATCTGAAAGTTTTCAATAAAACCCAAAAAAGTATCATTATTACTGGACTGACAGCAGGCACAGAATACTTTTTCCAGGTAATGTCTTAAAGCCGAATTAGAGAACCCAACTTTTGCCTACAACCATCGCATGCGACCTGCGTAAGTCATTCCTACAACATTGCTACAACTGTCTTAGGGATTTTAAACAAACTTGGTATACCAACGATAGTTGTAGCCATGTTGTAAGGATGACTTACGCAGTTCGCATGCGATGGTTCTAGGCAAAATTTGGGTCGTCTAGTTCGGCCTTTAGGGTTGCAGTAAACAAATGATAGTATGCCAGATTCTAAAAAGCCTTCCAGCCAGCCATGATCAGAAAGAGTGTTACATCTCAAGATGTCTTCTTTTCATAAATAGGTTCGCGCTTCTACGTCTGTTGGTTTAGGACCAGTTGCCAGGAAACAGATAAGGATGACACAAGGTATCAACCATCGTTATGTTATCAAACTGTCCTATGATCACCTATATAAAGACCGAATTAGACGACACAACTTTTACCTACAACCATTGCATGCGACCTGCGTAATAAGTCATTCTTACAACATGGCTACAACTGGCTATTAAACGACAATTGTAGCCATGTTGTTAGGATGACTTACGCAGGTTGCATGCGATGGTTGTAGGCAAAAGTCGTGAAATCTAATGCGTTCTTAACACAAAGCTCAAATATTTTTTTATATACTATTACAACTCATTTAATGAAATCATCTTTATGATTTCTCACAATTAATGACAACCTTAAAGAAATAACAGTTAAATATATGTCCATTTGGAACGTGCTCAGTCAGATCCATCCGTCAAGCTCAGGAAAAAACAACAACAACTTCAACTGACAATAATTTTAAACGGAGTTTTGTCTTTCACCCCCCCCCCCCCCTTAACTTATTGGATTTTCTCCATTAATAGATAAAACTACTATCGCAGAAGGCAATGACAAGAGCACTGATGCCACTGTTCCTGTTTTGGCGTCTATGCTCGCACTTTCTTTGTTGACAGTTGCTGCTTTTATTATTGTCTACATTTTGCGAAAGAAGGGACTGCTTCATAGACAGAGCCCTCCTAAAGAGGTATCACAGAAATTATACACGTTAGATCATTGAACAAGATGTACCTGATGTACAATTATAACACTTGATCAAGACTTCAAAAATATTCCTTACCCAGGAAAAAAGAAATACTAATACTGGCAGAGAATATGATCAAGCAGTTATTGTAATAGATGGCCTTTCTGGAGAAACCTCAGACGATATTTACGCTTTTGTTTTGGATGAAACCTTATGGGAAGTACCAAGAGAAAACCTGTCAGTTATCAAGAGACTTGGTAGTGGAAACTTTGGTTGTGTTGACAAAGCGACGGCCAAAGGTTTGCAACTCTGCCCTGGACAAGTAACGGTTGCTGTGAAGACCTTAAAAGGTAATACAATGTTCAGTAAATTACAACTAATGTGGCAACTGTTGCCTGGTCACTGGAAAGAGACATGTCTTTAGCAATTTCTTTTCAACTTTCCTTTTATAATGTTTACTATGATTGCTACATTTGTTGGAATAGAAATGAAAGAAAGAGCAGGGATAAAGTTTAACACAAACATCATTTCCAATCGAATTCAGAAAATGCGGCAGATAAAGACAAAGAAGACTTCCTGACAGAGCTTCGATTGATGATGAGACTGGAACCCCACCCTCATGTTGTTAACCTATTTGGGTGCTGCACGAAATCCGATGGTAAGTACATAATACATTCATAACATTAGCAAAAGAAGATAATTCACACTTGTTATACTACTTTAGGTCCAATGTCGATCATCCTTGAATATTTGCCCTATGGCGATCTCCTTGGCTATTTAAGGCGATCACGTGGTCACGAAGATACCTATTGTTCAGGAGATCTTCGTCCAGAGACAAAGTTGACTTCACGTGATTTGTTGAAGTTCGCCTGGATGATAGCTGATGGCATGAGTTTCTTAGCGAAAAATAAGGTCAGTGTTAAAGGTCAAGTGGACGTGTCATGCTGGCTTTTTGGGCATTTCAACCAAGGCCTAATAGGTTTAGTGAAAACCTTAGGAATAAAAGAATATAGATAAATTAAAATTGACAGGACTTCTTTGACTAAGAAAAAGAGGATGTCACCAAAAGGGATGAAGATAAATGATTCATATAAAAAGAAATGACCAGTTCCAAAAAGATGGTTTTGCAAAACAATCTATATGATCATAATTTTAATGATAAATTGTTCTTTAAAGCGCTTGCGAACAATAATGTTGCCAAATTTCTTGCGAAATGTTATGTTTTCAGTGTGTTCATCGTGATCTTGCTGCTCGCAATGTTCTCGTTGGTGAAAATAAAATTTGCAAGATATCAGATCTTGGACTTGCAAGGAGAATCAGAGAGGACGTCTACTCCAGATCAAAAGCAGTAAGTATGGAATAGTATAAACTTGTATTGTTGAATATATGAATGTATCAAGTCTCGGCGGTGTATTTCAGATTTATAAAAAAATAAGTTAGACATGTAAGATGAAGCAAGGACAGCAGTTTTACAGACTGCACAACGGAAGTCAGAGAAAAATCACCAATAGTATTGGATATGTATAGTTCTTGTGAAGTTGAGAAGTAGGGAAACATGACGGATCTTACGAAAATATTTGAGGCTTAGTTCATATAGTACTCCTGAATACCTTTTAAAGTATTTCTTTCTTTTTTCTATTCTAGGCTCGATTACCAGTGAAGTGGATGCCACCAGAGTCGCTCTTCCATGGAGTGTCGTCTATTGCTAGCGATGTGTAAGCAAATATGGCGTCGAGACAATTAAGTAAAATAATGTCTTGATGTATAACCTTATCATAAAATTATTTTCAGGTGGTCTTATGGAGTTGTTTTATGGGAAATATTTACTCTTGGTAAGTTTCTGTTTTGATAGTTATTCAAATATGGATAAATGACTAATATCTACCTTAAAATAGGAAAAAATCTTTAATACTGATGTCACATTTGTTGCTATGTCTTCCATCAGGTGATTCTCCTTATCCTAAATACAACGGGAAAGACATACCAAGACTGCTGCAACAAGGCTACAGAATGCCAAAGCCATTTCACCTATCGGAAACTCTGTGAGTTGAATTTACCTATTTGGTGCTACAGTGATCATAAGCTTATAAAAATGAAGTGACAGAGTCTGATATAAAGTTTACAAAGTATAGTAAAAACCATATGTATATGAGCCTTAACTTTTCCATAACTTTCCTTTACATAAATGACCCATGAAAATCGCCAATGTTAACAGATGGCATGAATCATAGGCATGACTTGCGCATACACCAGTGAACATATATAAGTCTCATGGGCTATGAATTCGATCAAGTCAATGTTTTGATTCAGTCCTTAGTCCATGGATGTAATCATTCATTTCCAATGCATGCCGGCCTCATTCAAGAACCATGGATTCGTCCATAACTGGCATATAAAGTATTTTAATTCACAAGTATTCAGCTAGCATTTAACATACTCTCTTCATAACCATAACATTTCAGATACTTACTGATGTTGAGATGCTGGCAAGACAAACCCGAAGACAGACCTTCCTTTACAATGATATGTGATGAAGTCAACCAATACTATAACACAACCAAGGTGAGTTTTCCTTTTTTATAAAAGAGCAAGTAAAGATTACATAAAATCACTGAATGTACATTTTAACAATTCGTGCCAGCAACTAACTCTCAGTTTTATTTTTATCTCAATAAAGAGCTCTAGTTTAAACCCCCTACGCAAATCTATACGACTCGAAGCTTAAACGATATTATAGAGAACTACAATTTGCTTTTTGTTTCAGGATTATATCAACCTTGACGTGTTTGAAGATGCTTTGTACGTCAACTTCGATGTTCTTTAAAAATAAATGGACGGTTTATGGAGCATCATCATATTGCACCCTCAAGGAAAATTTGTAAAATAATTTTCAAAACAGCTAAACTGACCTAGACTGCTTTTTCAATGAGAACTACAGTTGACTCTCTTTGAATGACCACTCACGTAAGCGACCATATCCCGTGAGCGACCACCTTTTAAATTTCCCGTTATAATTGTTTCCCGTATAAACTCTTTAAAAAAATCTCCCGTAAGCGAACATCTCTTGTAAGCGACAACTTTTTCCTGATCCCGAGGTGGTCGCTTACGAGAGAGTTGACTGTACTTATCATCACAGTACAGGGGCGGATCCAGGATTTTTTTTAGGGGGGTGACTTTTGATTTTTTAAGAGTTAACATATTTAATTTTCCCGCCAAACGTACCAAAGCTCCGCGAATGCATGTGTGTTCTAAGATGCCCGAGACGCTAAAAAGTGTTAGTCCTTTTGAAAAGTGTTGTTTATCGAAATATCAACCAATTATTTCCCTATTTCCTTGATATGAATATTTTTATATTCAATTTATCCAGGAAAAAGGGGGGTGAAC